AATTTCTTATGTATTTTTATGGAACCAATCAATTTTAAGTTTTTAATGGCTTTTTTAGGATTTATTTCGTATTTTGGCTGTGACTGTACTAAAAGAAATTGCACTTGAAGACCTAAGAGTGATTCTTAATGCAATATTTCACAAATGCATGGGGTGTCCGAAAACTTTTTTCCACCACTGTATACTCCCTATCTGATGCTGTGGCTGCTTGTGGTTGGCTGAGAGGGATGTGAACTCATTAGTTTGCAGCTGTGTTAATCAAATCAGGTTGGGTTACCATTATGCATGCCAAACGTGCCAAACGGTGCCAATCCCCTTTGATCTGACATCAGATGTGACGGGACAGTCGATATAGAGATACATTTATGTGCTGATTGCAGATAGTTGCATTGCATAGTGTTTTTTTTGGGTATTTATTGCATTGTTAATGTGCCTGATATTCTGGAAACCTGCCTGTGAGGTTTTGGTGACGTGTGCGCACTGTCCGCCGGTCAGCCAAACTTCGGCTTACACTGGCTGCGCTCCGCCTGCGCTGACAGTGGACCTGGTTTCAGTTGGCGAGCTTTTAATGCACCTTCGGCGAAGCCTTTTGGCACGAAACTGCCACTGCGCCAAGCTGGATCTGTCGGCACCTCCCCCTGCTGCGCCGCCACACCCATCTCAGCGCACCTCGGTCTGCCAAACTACCAAACTGAGTGCACCTCAGGTTGCGCTGCTCTAAACTAGCTTTGCGCGGGGTTCGCCACCCTGCGCCACCTGTGCTGTGCCGGGAAACTAGAGCCCTATGTCTGTCCAGACTCATATCCATGTCAGCAGACGCACACATCTCCAACCCTGCAGCACAGTAGATCTATACAAGATTAGTGTCACCAATTAAGTATCTGATTAAATGTCTGCCCTTCTGATCCTGAGTTAGGATGTTGAGTAATGGCCAGTAATTTTTTTTTTAAGATCATTATGATGTCACAGTGAAATTGACCTTGGACCCTTTGAATATAAAATATCACCACTTCATCATTTTTATCTTGTTAGAGTTTTCTGTGAAATTTTGTCATGATAAGCGTATGAATTCCTGAGTAATATGAGGAGGTCACAGTGAACTTGACTTTTGGCCATCAAAATCTAATCACCTCATCCTTGAGTCCAGTGGATGATTGTGCCAAATTAGAGGAAATTCCCTAAAAGCATTCTTATAGTATCACATGGACAGAAAACATAATGCTCCTGGCTGCGGCTGTCTCTGGCATAAAGAACAGCATTTGTATGGGAATGATTCTGTCCCATATAATGGTTCCTACTGTATTTGAACTGCACTTCCTGGATTGTACTCTACCTTCTCACAAGTTCCTCCAGCAACACACCTACACCAATGCAGCTGTTTGAATATTTTTAAAGCAGTGCTATTTTTGGTATGAACACCCACTAAAAGGGAAGGTTGGAATTAGGAATTAAAAGCGAGGGGAAAAGGCTGCAGAGAGAACAATGATTAAACCCTGCATTTGCATTGGTTGTGTTGGGAGAAGTGACAAGCATCTCTGGGAGACAAAAATAAAATCACAAATTGGTTTTGAAGAACAAAAAAACCTTTGGAGGTATCGAGTAGGTTTGCCAATGTGAGACTCATCTGCAAGCTAATCAATATTTGTGTTCTGGCATCCTCTGAGGGACAAAAAGACTGAACTCCAGCACGTGCACTTGAACACGTACACTTTGAAAGCATGGCAGCCCTGCATGAAGCAATATACACAGAGATAACAAAACGTAGCCTGGCATACACACACACACACAAAACTCATTAAGACGACGTGCGTGCTTCAGACAGATGTGATGGAATTAGTTATACCTGAGTGAAACCACATTTCTCAAACTTTCTCCCCACCTCCTGTCCTCACTCGCTCTTTCATCTGAATGTTAGCAAATTTGCCCTGAGCATCCCTGTCCATTTTTCTAGTCACCCCTCCCCCCTCCATTCATCCACCCATGAATCATGCAAGTTTTTCCCACCTTCTTCTGTCCAGTTTGTCTCTCAGCAGGATGCCAGTTATCTTTATCTAACCATCAATCTTCCCCCTTCCTTCCCATCTCAGATCTATCACCTCTCCCTGCGGTGATCGAGCCTACTAGCGAGCCATTAGTTCTTCCCGTCCATTCTGTTAAAGTATTTAGAGAGGTCAGATGACGGTAGAGCAGGTTACTGTAAACCAGCTCCAGCCTTGACCCTGGGAATCCATATGTAAAACCACCACCCTCAGGTGTTTGCAGCGGAGGAATAATAATTTGAAACACCAGGTTTATGAGTGAGAAAAGAACATTTTCTATGCTTGTGAAGCTGTGATTTTGAATATGACTCTTTGTTGCGTGCTCTCCCTTATTCTCTCATCTTCCCTGTCACTCTCGCTGTGTGTGATCTAATGAAGCAGGAATGTCTAAGAACGATCTTAAAAACTCTAATAAAATATTAAAGCGCATACTTTCCTGCCAGAGACCCTGCCCAAGTCTCTTGTGGCATCCTGGCTCATTAAAACATATTGCTACTTCTCAGATAGAGGCTGAGAGCTCTGTGACCCATTTTGGGTCCTAAAAGCCATTTTAATAAAACGAGAGTTGCTCGAGTTGTTTACAGTGATATGAGATTCTCCGTGTTAGGTAAAAAAGGAAAGGAAACGGAGAGATGTATCAATTCACAGAGAGATGGAGGGATGTGTCAAGGGAGGGAGACAGAATAATCTAACCAGTTAATCTTGTTACTTACTGGACTGAATTTATCTCTATTTAAAGTAAACAACACAAATACAAGCACACAAGTCAACCCGGGCGCTGTAATCACCTTCAAACTGAATTAAGCTGGAAGCTGTCAAGGCTACTTTTGTGTCCAAGTCATAACATTTTGAGTCTCACATGAAAGTTTTGAATATTATGAGGCGACAAATACAAGAAACTACAACTACAAGAAAATATAAAGCAACACAGCATTGTTACAAAAAGTTGGAATATAGTCAGCCAACTTGCATGGAGTGGATTATTATGTAAATGTTGAATACGCACAGTATTATTGGAGAGGAAACATCAAGCTAAGCACAGCAGGGAGTGGGTGGACTCTGAGTCTACAGGTGGGGGTGGGAGTCGGGCTTTTGAAACTATATGAACAGTAGAAGCTACAACCACAGCCACAGCAGCAAGCGACACCACAGCTTTCAGGTGAGTGGTGAGCAGAGCGCTGACATCTGAAGTTCACTGCCATGATTAAAAGACTTTATACAATGTTTGTTGAAGTGAGAGGAGTGTGCCATGTGAGTGTAGCGGTGACTCCAGTTGGGCTGCCTGAACTGACAAGTAAGTGAAACTAGTCCATACCCATTGAGTGCACAGTTGCCCACATACAGTTTCACATGGTGTGTGTTTGGAATACAGGTTATAGGAAATTACAGATTAAATAGTCAACTGAACCCATTAAGAAGAGCAATGTATTCAGAGTTTTTGAAAACGTGGGATGGACAGAATGACTGACTGACAGACTGACACACTGACAGTTTCTGTGATTATGTACAGCATACCATACCATGACTTAGTCATACCAAAAATTAGAAAAAAAACAAACATTGGGCCACAGGGGGAGCCACAGCGATCTGTCGCATTTTAGCCATTTTTAAGCATTTTTCTGTTGTTATAGCGCCACCCACCCCAAGTTAAATTTCTCCAGTCACCTTGAGGCGTCCTGTTCTACATATCTACCAAGTTTAGTAAAAATCGATATGGCGGTTAGGCCTAGATAAGAAATTAGCTCTCTAGCGCCCCCATTTTGTTTGTTTTGGTCAATAATGGAGGGGTCCCCTCAGATTATGTGTGGTCATATGCCTACAAAGTTGCGTGGTGATCGGTGAAACCCTTGAGATGTTATACACCTTTATGTGATGAGCCACGCCCTCCGCAATATTCATTGCCTTATAGAAGCTCAGTTTTAGTAAGTTTTACAACTTTTGCCAAAAGGGAACTTTAGATATTGGTCCCTAGATTATGTTCACCGAGTTTCATGCAGATCGGTCAAACTTCCTAGGAAGAGATCGATTTTAAGTGTTTTTAAAAAAATTCAAAATGGCGGAAAATCTATATAAGCGGAAGTTATGGGTTCTTGAGGCAAATTTGTTCCTCATGAGGAGAGGCATCTCTGTGCAAAGTTTCATGTCTCTACGACATACAGGGCATTAGATATGCCCATTCAAAGTTTGCAATTTCAATTGGTTGCTATAGCGCCACCCTTTGGCCAACTGATGCAATATTGCTTCATTTGCATCCTCCCATGACCCTCTACCACTGTGCCAAATTTCACATGGATTGACCAAGTCAGCGAGGAGAAAAACGTGGAACAGACACACAGACAGAGTTTTCGTCATTATATAGTAAGATAGATAACTTTTTGCCCCCTAGTGTTTCCAAGTGGTATTACTGTTAACACAGCTGTCGCAAAGACAACTGGATCCACTTTTTCTCAGAGACAAGGCTCTTTCGCTTTTGCCAAGTAAGGTTTCCAGTAGGGGTGAGCAATATGGCCCCAAAATAATATCACGATATTTCAGGGTATTTTTGCGATAACGATATTCTTGATTTAAAGATATAATTCCTAAACATATAGCCTTATTTTATGATGACGGCACTTTAACTACATTTTGATACTGTGGGAAATATTCTCTCTTTTCTTTGTATCCAGACAAATGTTCTTGTTTTTAGCCCGGCAGAAGTAGTGTGAAGACATCTGTTATTTTTTATATTTTGTTATTATATTTTTTACTTGTTTTAAAAAGCTAAATTTTATTTTGGAAGATAATTGTGCATATTCTAAGTGATCCCCCTACAGCCATTACATTGTGCAATCAACATTTACTTCAAAAGTTAAAGTAAAAACTTGTCCGTTTCCACCTTAATTACATTATACTGTTACGTGTTTCTATATTTTATCCACTCTTAGAGTTTGGTTGTATATGTAGGTATGTGTGTGTCTGTACCTGAATTTGCAAGACGGAGGTGAAAGTTTTGGCATCCTCTGCGACCCCTCCAATGTAAAGAGACCTGGTGAAAACCGGTGGGTGGTCGTTCTCATCCTGGATGTCGATTATCACCTTAGCTGTGTTAGCTAGGACACAAATAAACACACATACACAATTTGAATTACAGAAAGTAGAAAAAGGGATCTTCTGTAAAACTCGTGCAGTATTTGGGATTAAAAGCAAACAATAAAATGTAAGACATGAATTAACAAGGACAAACACAGTCATTGTGTAAATCACTCGTGTCAGACCTGCAGTTCTGAACTTGCAAGTCCAACCTGTGTCACATATCGGCAAGAAAAGCAACAACAATCGTTCAGTCCTGCAGTTGTAGACATGTTCAGGAAGAGAAAGTCACAGCTTCTGCATTCCCTGAAGGTGCAAGTATTACACTTACAGTAGCTATTACTATTTTCACTTGTCAGCGATAGTATTGACATGTCTACACTACTTGTTTGAACTGCTGCTTCCCTTTTCTATAGGTTCAAGAGGTGTGTGGCAGGTGTAACACTGGTCTGACAGTGATTGAGGGGCCTCTCCTAAAAGAGTATCTGCAGCCAGAGTTAGAACTCATTATCATGAGGTGATCACCTGCATTTTGAGAAACCAAAAATGAGCAGGGACAACAGCAGGGGCAAAGAGATTTTAAGTCCTTGAAAACATGGTTTCAAATCTTAAGCATTTCTCTTCAACATTTAATAGTCATGGTGACTAAATCAGCAACAGTCAAAGTTTAAAATGGAGCTATTATGCTTTTTGTTATTTTCTGTTAAATATTAAATGTTACAATGTCAGACTCCCATATTAAATGTGGCCAATGTTTCAAATAATGATGTAAGCATATGTAAAATAATCCATGTCAGGAAATCTACTTTAGACCTTTATTTCTACTTTTGAGACAAGCTGATGTCAGCTTGTGATGGATATCTTTACATGGTCATCAGGGGCGGACTGGCCATCTGGAGGCTCTGGAGAATCACAGGACGGCCGGCGGCCGCCATGCAGTCATCACCGTTTTTTGTTTTGTTTTGTTTTGTTTCCTTTTTCTCCCTGATAATCTACTGTTCCACGTCCAGTCCGCTAGGTGGCAGCCTTTAAATTGGATGCCAGCCGGCCCATAGATATCTATGAGCCAGCCGGCTGGCAATCAAATTGAAGAAGAAGGAAGCGCATACGTTGCGCAAATCGAGCAGCCGTGTGCAGTATGTGCAGATGGGAGAGACATTACAGCCTCTTTACACTGTGATTCATCATAACTCATACCATGTCTTGTTGTGTGTTTCAGGTAGTCACCTGCATTGTATTGTTCAGCAGAGAGACATCTGGACTGTGTCTTTTATTTCTCAGTGAGTATTCTACACTATGCTCTTAACACAACATCTAGTCAACATCGGTACTATTGCTATAATTTGGAAGGTATAGTATTATGTGTTAAGATTTAAGTATTTTGACACCCGTGTCTGGGGCTGATGAGTTTCCACGCACCGGTTGTTGTGGGCTGCGCCGACAACAACCAGGCCTGTTTTTTAGTCCCAGTCTGCCCCTGATGGTCATCTGCTTCAGGCACACTAAGTGTTTACATTACATTCACTGCTACATGTAGCTACATGCTAACGTCAGGGAGACCAGTCATCTTTGTCGTAGATGTTGTTAATTTCTCTTCTCCCTGATTCTTGATAACCTTCCTGCTGGAACACGTCAGATTGTCAACATTTTGGATTAAAAGCTTTTATTGGTGATTTAGAAAGTAGAAAGTTGTGATATACTCCATTAGTTACTCCACGGCTGCAACGATGGTGCTGAGACACCAAGGCCTTAGATATGGAAGACTGGGAAAAGCTGACCAATCAGAGCAGACTGGGCTTTTTAGGGAGGAAGCCTTAAAGAGAAAGGCACTAGAACAGAATGTTTCAGACAGAGGGTGAATACAGGTGTTCCTGCACAGACAGTATAAGGAAAGTAAAGTGTTTTTGAACATTAAAGCATGTAAACATTTTGTAGAAACCTGAAATACAAGCATGAACCTGAAAGTAAGTGTAATAGGTTCCCTGTAACTTTGGAAAAAACATCCTTAGGTATTATTTATTAAGATGGGAAAGTATTTAATAACGTTGCCTATCATAATTATGCAGATGACACGCAAATATACATATTGCTTTCACCAGGTGATTATGGACCTGTAGAACGCCTGTGCCACTGTATTGAGCAAACAAATGATTGGATGTGTCAAAATTTTCTCCAACTCAACAGAGATAAGACCGACATAATTGTCTTTGGGCAAAAGACAGACAGTGTGTATCAGCTCTCACTTCGAAGACACCCCGTCTTTCTTGTAACTAAAAAAAACTTTGGTGTTATTCTGGACTCACATTTAAACTTCCACAGCCACATCAACTCTGTGAAGTCATCTGCCTGCTACCATTTGAAACACACTGCTAGAGTCAGAGGAATAAAGAAAAGCAAGACCTTGAAAGGCTCACCCATGCCTATTATTTCCAGTAAATTAGATTACTGCAATGGTCTGTTTGTAGGACTTTCCACACAAGCTGTTTGGCAACTTTAGTTTTTTCAGAATGCTGCTGCTAGGGTCCTGAGAAAACTAGGAAAATGACCACATTACTCCAGTTCTAGAATCATTACACTAGTTACCCATCACTCCAAGAAATCTTGCTGCTTGTGTATAAATCACTCTGTGGCTCAGCGCCCAAATATCTCTCTGACATGCTTGTGACATATGAACCTTCTTGGAACCTGAGGACATCTGGGGCCGGCCTAGTGACCGTCCAAAGAGTCAGAACAAAACATGGTGAAGTAGCGTTTTGTTATCATGCAGCATAAACCTGGAGTAACCTCCCAGATGATGTTAGACAAGCCCCGACTCTGACATCTTTGCACCTTCTTTAATGGTGATTTTTTTCCAAAATTGTACATCACTTAGTAATTAATTTTGCCTTTTATATCTTTTTTCTCATTACTCCTTTCTGTATCCTTTATTATGTTTTATACTTTATTGCTCTGAAAAGCACTTTGAACTGCCCTTTTGTATGAAATGTTCTATACAAATAAAGCTGCCTTGCCTTGCCCATTGTTAAGACAAATTCTGAAAATGTGCTGTGAGAAATATAACCAACTACTGAATAGGGATGCTGCTGCAGAGGTGATCCTGCTCTGAACCATTTGACCACATTTTTTAAAATATATGCATCAATAATCTTACTAGTCATGACATTGTGGTCGTTTCAAGCCAAACATCTTCAAAAATACTTTCTATGGCAAGATTCAAAATCAAGTTTCGCATCAGTCACACTGTAAGTGGTATTTTGAATTATGCACACAAACTGAATGGAAAAATCTATTTTGAATGATCAAAAAAAGACGAAACGTGACTGTCATTCTTCCGAGCTACACTTTCAATATGGGACAAAGCTTTGTGCCAGTGAGCCTCTTGTCATTCATATTCAGTGGTTGCAACTTGGAATGACTCACATTCAGTCTTATCTGTCCAAAAACAGGGAGTTGTGAGTCACACCCACGTAAAACTGCAACACAATACATCAACCAAAGTCTGTGAAAGGGCGAATCATGTGTCAGAGGGAAAGAACAAATCCCAGGATTGTGTGAACTGCTCAAGTTTTTACTCCAAAAAGACAAAGGAAGAAAAAAAAATCACATTAAAAACTTTGGCACGCAAAAAGAAAAACACAAACAAACAAGCAGATGCAAACATTAATCTTCTTATCTACAACAGCAATGAGACACCACACCGAAACATCTATTTACGATTCCAACCTTAACTTGAGTTAGAGAACTGGATTAACACATTGTTAGAATCTTATTGATTTGTTGCTTGATTAAAATGCGTAGCAAAAATAATGGAAGGAGATTTGCTAATGACTACAGTGATTTGTAGTTTTAATCCCTGCAGAATGCTTAAATTCAAATAGCTGGATGAAATGAGAATAGCATGTGGTAAACACCATAATTAAAGAAGAAAGGGGAAACCCGGGGAGCTGAGCATCAATTAAGAAGAGCTCAGACTTGTTTTGAAGAAAAGAGAAAAGAGAGAAATACCAGCAGATACAGGCAGTTAGAAAAAGGCAGAGAAAAGAGACGGCAAATTAAAAGGACAGAGGGGAAAGAATGAGGGACTAATTAGAGCCATTTTCACTTCATTTATAATTTCAATTAAAACTGTTCAAACTGTTAAAAACTAGGTTTTTCCACCCACATGCAACTGAAGGAAATATTGTTTTTGAATGGACTGAAATGAGAATAAAATGAACGAAAAATAAGACAGAGCAAAGAAAGGAAGAAGAACAAAAATATATAATGTGAAAAATTCAAAGAATTTAAAGATATACTATGCAGGATTTTCCTGAAAAACAATATATGAAGTCATACAAAAGTAATCGGCAGCACGGTGGTGTGGTGGTTAGCCCTGTCGCCTCACAGCACAGCAAAAGGGTCCCTGGTTCAATCCCAGGAGGGAGCCCTTCTGTGCGGAGTTTGCATGTTCTCCCCATGTCAGTGTGGGTTTTCTCTGGGTACTCCGGCTTCCTCCCACAGTCCAAAGACATGCAAATTAATTGGTGACTCTAAATTGTCCGTAGGTGTGAATGTGAGTGTGAATGGTTTTCTGTCTCTGTGTGTCAGCCCTGTGATAGTCTGGAGACCTGTTCAGGGTGTACCTCCTGCGACCCTCAAGAGGATAAGCGGTTACGAAAATGGATGCATGGACAAAAGTAACCATTACCCATGACTAGAATTGCAGCTGTGTATTTATCACGCAAAAGTGTGGGCACCCCTGTTAAACATTATCTGAGAATTTAAATGTGTTAGGGTGCCCAGACTGTTGCATGGTGCTCCTTTCTTGTTTAAAATGTTAAAAAACCACGTCTCAACTTTAACCTCATATCTTTTGGAGGTCTCTTCATCTCCTAAATTACTAACTAAATTACTTGCAGTAAACAAAATTTTGACCAGCGGTGCCCAAACGTTTGCATGCCACTGTACCTTGAAATGTAGGGATGGAAATTGATAAGATTTTATTGATACTAATGCCATTATTGATTCTACCCACCGCTCGGATTCTTTACTGATTGAAGTCTGAACTCAGTGTGGATGAAATGAGAGAATATTTGTAAGCTACTCATTTATTGCAAAAACCATCACCTCTAACAAAGAAGTGGCTCTGTTTCCAGGGCTGCTGGCCATTTGGGTGCCCTATGTGCAATTGTTTTGTTGTCCTGTCCTATCCTTTCCTTTTCTCTCCCGTCAGCACGATTACTGTAAAAATAAACTTAAATGAATAATAAAAAAAACAGTACTGTCCCATTTGTCACACAAAACAGAGGAAAAGTCCCACACTTTATGATTCTGCAGAGACAGTATATTCTCCACTACAGAAGAACTACAGAACAGGCATTTTTCAGCAGTTGCAGGAGGCTCTACAGAGGCACACGTCTGTGGCTGCAAGGTCGTTAATGAGGTCATTATATGACAGCTTCTGAGCAAGCTCTGCATTGATGCTGGTGACAGAAAGACCACCAGATGTTCCTGTCTCATTGTTGAACGCAGGCTTGTTTTAATGAGCTTAAGTTTCAAAAAACTTCACTCAGCAGAGGCAACTGACTGTATTATTGACTCTAATAATAAGTGCTGTGTTCACCCCTTTTCAACAGTCCTGGGCTGGCTTGGCTTGGACAGCAGGGATTTGCATTTCCATTACAACAGGGCTACCCTCTTGAAGGTGTGTCTTGAACTGATGATGGCTTGTCTTGAGTGATGATGTTTAAAAGCAGAGTGCTGATCCACGGCTGAAGTCCCCTGTTATTTTTGCTGCATGTGTTTTTCCTCATCAGGGCAGGTGAAGTTTACCTGTTGGAGGTGAGCTGTTTGCAGAGGTGCAGTAAGAGCCTGTTGTCTGGAGCTCTTCATCAACATCTCACTGTGTCTGTTTCTGCTTTCACTTTCCTCCCCGCCATATTATGAGACTTAATTGAAGAGAAGTCACTAATAAAGTTACGCCACTTTGGTAATAACACTTTTAATTTCTTGTGGATTCTTCACAATAAAAGTCCCCCATTATTTTGGTATGTAAAAACTTTTATTGTGAAACAACAAAATAAGGAAATGTTGAGTTTTCGAGCAGCAACTTCACACAACTTCTAATATGGCTGATAGCGAACATGAAACAGTAAAATAAAACAGATAAAAGTAAAAGCAAGGTGGAGGGGAGAAATTAAACTCCAAACCACAGAGATTCAGTTAGAAGCTACAAAAGTACTGAGAGCTGAACACAGAGACTTCAAAAAACGCCTTTCTCTCTGGTCTCCTGCAGACAGAAGGGAGGAGAGTCTCATAACACACAGGCTTGCTTGGGGGAGAAGGGGGGATGGTCAGGGATTGGCCAGCTTTTTGACCTACTCCTGAGAATGTCCATTTCTGGCACGGCATGGTGGCCCACCACGTCTAAATTGACAGTGGAAACACAAATCGGCGCAGCATGGCTTTACTTGGTGGGGCCAAGAGCAACAATGGAAAAAGGGTATAAAACCATCAACAACACAGCTCCAACCATGTTGTGTCTGAGAGGGCCTTAACTGGGAGAGCTAATGCAATACATGTAATTATGATTGATGATGATCATATTAAGGTGTTTTGGTGTCCCCTCTGGGACTGGAGCCCTACACACAGTGCGTGCTGCACATGCCCTTAGATGCGGCTACTTTTATTTCATTACATTCATTCAATTTCATTCACAGCACATGCCGATTTGAGCGTTGCATGTGCAGTATTCTATAAATCAAAGTGCACAGCCTGGAAGCAGCTCTGTTGTCATCTTTCTATGTGAAATGAAGCCACACTTTAGACTGTTTCCTCCTCTCTGCTATGACTCGTTCTTGTTGCAGGTTTCCAGCAGTGTAGATGCATGAGCGTGACCTCGCTCTTCTTTAATGCTCAACTGTCAGAAAAACACGCTGGCATCAATTAAAAGAACTGATAAATAGGGCTGCCCCCTGATAGTCGACCAAACGTTAGTTGACCAAAAAGGTCATTAGTTAGCAAGATTTCATTGGTCGTTTAATTGCAGAAAAACAAAACAAAACAATAAACAAGCAAACGTGAGACTCTTTTAGGAGCTGCGTCTTGTCAAAATAAATCAAACCCTATATGACTGGACCATGTGGGAATTTAATTTGAAAGGACAGACACAGGAGGAGGCCATGCACAGCATTCAGACAGGAGTCACGTTACAAACCAGTCACAGCTGACAGATATCTTTCCCTTCTTCCATAAAAATTCAGTCTGATAAATACAGAGAAGTTGATCATGTTAGTGCAGGGCTACCCAGAGCTTTACATCTGTCCCACAGACGATAGGCCTACACACTTGTAAACGGCACTTGGAAGAAGATCAGCTGTGCTCTCAGGATCTCAGGTAAATAGGCTATACCATGCTTGTTAAGGTTGCTTAGGAACCTCAGACGCAAGCTGCCACTGCGTTCTTGAAAGCCGGCACAGAAAAGGCACAACAGTAGTGCCCAGCGCCTGACCTCTCATTTTCCAGGCGGTTATAGAAGGTGCATGTGTACGGCCCCTAATTTACAGGGCTGGTACCTGCGGTTATTCCACAGGCTAGTTAATAACATGTCGGGCAGGAAATCCAAAGTGTGTGATCATTTTGAGAAGGTGAAGGATGAACCCAAGGTGATATGTAAACTCATCTTCAATGGTCGATTACAAACATGACGTATCATCTGAAACATGGAAGTAGCTACATGCCCATTAGCCACTTAGCACAACCATTACTGCTTTGCCGACAGTGTCATTAACAGGCGGCTCGCTCAGTGTGTGACTTGCACTTGTAGATAAAATATAGGCCTATATTAATGAAGGTTCATTAGTACGGTTTTGTATTTCTCTGCAATGTAGCACAGTGTTAACAATGTTACTGATACTATTCTTTCTCACACCTTGAACTCAAACCATTGTGTTGCCCGCCTAAATATAATCATTTAATAATTAGCCTACATTAACATGGTAAACATTCAGGCGACTAGTTGACTAATGGCCCTAAATGATGACTGCTGGTCGACAAGGAGGCAGGGGGCAACCCAACTGATGAGCTCAGAAGCATACGATTCTGATTAATCAGAAAACTAGTTCTCGATTCCCATCCCTACCTTGAAAGATGTGCGTAGTTAAAGGCAGGTTCGGTACAATGTAACACTGACCTGACCTGCACAGATCATCCTGTGCCAATGTTTGGGACAGAGTATCTGGGGAAATGTTACAGCTCTACAGATAAAATCTACAATCTTCCAAACTGCACACCAGCTTTATGTGGCCACTTTGATCTTTGCAAACATGCTTGATATTTGAGAGATAAATTCTAGGCAGTTACATAACTACATATTATGTATATAACACCTATGATAGCCAATGAGACACAAATCTAGAAGGAGGAGGAAAGGCAAGCATTTTAAAACAGCAGCGGAGAAGAGAGCAAGCTGGTGTAGCCTACAGGGTTGATCGGCACCTGAGAGAGGAAAAGGCTGCTTGAAAGATAACAACAGCAGCTGAGGCCCAATATAACATGTCTTCCAAGACATAACTGTAAAGACAAGGTGAAGAGTTGAAGAGAACTTGTACAAGGTAAAAGCAGAAAGAGCTCCAGAGAGAATGAGTGAGATAACTGTGTGAGCAAGAGCGAAAGCTGAAGCCTGTGGCAAGTTTATCTTAACAATATCACGTAGTGGGTGATGCACTGTTATTTTTAATCCTTCAGTGTGTGTGTGTGTGTGTGTGTGTGTGTGTGTGTGTGTGAGTGTGAGTGTGTGTGCGTGTGTGTAATTAGAGAGAAGAAAATCTGTGAAATTTGCGGTGATGCAATCCGATGTCAAAAGTTAGCCCTGTAATCTTGAAGGAGGAGAGTTCACAAACACGACCACGCACTTACTCTTTGAGGGAACTCGGAGGTTCGAGGACACCACTCTCATGGAGTCCGCTTCCACCTTCAGAACGTAGGAGGAGTTGGCCTCATAGTCCAGGGGCTTGGCAGTGGAAATCACTCCTGTCGTTTCATTTAATGCAAACACACCTGGAGACACAGAGAGATAAAGAAAGACAGCGAGAGCGGGGGAGGTAGGATGAAAGAAACAGGGAGCAAAATATAGAAGGGAAAGGCCAAAGAGAGAGACAGAGGGATTTTCTTTTACTCTCTTGTATAAAGCAGTCGGATGGTGAGTGGGAAGTTTTACAGAGTGAGAAGGAGGTGTTTGCATAGGAGGTATTTTAAACATTATTTCAATAAGAAGCTTCAGCATATGACATATGAGCAACCCATTACTGCTCGGCCCCATTTACACTTGACATTTCATAAAGCCCAGGTGTAATTTAATCTCTTTTGTTTACCCTTAGCTACATCTCATATGAATCTGAGATCAAGTCTTGTTTCCCCAGACTAAATGCAAGTCAGCATAGGCCCAGTCCAGGTGGTGGTGGTATTACACCTTAAGCTGTTTGGTTATGGCAAACAACAGCAGATTAAAAATAACTTGTAGAGTTTAGCCACAACAGGGTGTCTACAGGTATCAGGCAGTTAAATTTAATGCTTTTTAAGACCCTGTCAGGGCACCTCTTGACCAAATTTAGGACAAATTCTTGGACAAATCATGTTTTACTTAGCAAAGCATCGCAGGTAAGTAGTATATTATGTGGTATTGTGCAGAGGTCAGTGTTATGTAGGTTTATGGTTATTAGAGTGAGTTAAAGTGACACTAACCTTTCTGGAAATTTTACGCTTTTCTTAGTTTAGGTTAAAATGCTATTAATAAGCTGATGGCACACTAAAATGTAAGTGAATTCCACCAGTTTCAAAATGCCAGGGTTGCTTTTGACTGTGCAGGACAGGTAACGTTATGTTTAGTTTGCTTCTAATATAACATATAACGTTATATGACAACACAGCATCCAGTTGCTAATGGCTAACGTTACCCTACTGTAGCGTAGCCTCTGAAACATTAATCTTCCTTGTGCTTTTCCACTTACTAGTAACGTTAATGCTACTATCTAACGTTAGGACTGTAACCTTATTCTAAACTCATCGGTCATCACTGACTCCGGTTGAGTTTTAAAACTCTGGGGTTGCGTTTGACTGTCTTGGTTGTAACGTTACACTCGCTCTCCTCTTCCGTGTATCTAACGTTACCTTGCCAACGCCTACGTCTATCATAGACGTAATGAGGACGTAATGGAGGAGGGGGGAGTAGGCCTTTGGAGGGAGGTGGAGTTGCAGGAGGAGGAGGATGGGACTTTGGAGGGAGCCGTGAGTTGTGGATGTTCATATTTTTTCTAAGTGCTGTGTGAAATGCAAGGAAGGTGTCTGGTCTATTTTTCACCGGAGCCGCGAGCGCTTCTGTCAAGCTGGATCGAGCGGATCGTACCAAACAGGAAGTTGGACACAGAAAAGATGAGAGAATCCGGCCAATTTTCAAAATAAAATAACAACAGCACGCACTAAGGAACGTGAGGAGAAAATACTGTGTTTATAATTTAAAATAACACAACAGTGCATAACCGAACACATTTTTCAATACCATAATCACTTCATTACAATTGTAATTTTGTGTCACCGAGCCTACAGGCATAACTACATAACGCCCTCGACACACCGGACGCGTTAGTGACGCGTTAGTGCCGTCCGGTGTGTCCAGGGCGAAGCCTAATGGCACGGATGTGTGGACATCTGTTCATCTTTTCATTTATGTCCTTATTAATGCACAATTTATAACTTGCTTGTTGGATTTATTAAAAACGAATGAATTAAAACTAAATGTCTTTGAATCTTTATTAATCAATCTTTATTATCATTTAAAAACGAAAATTAAAATGACCGGTAAAAATAGATTATGACCGGATTTTTATGACCCTGTCGGTCAAAATGACCAGCGCCGAGAAAGTCTAGTGCAATGTCTGGTCCTGTGTATCTGTTGCGGAGGGCTCCGAAGGGTCACAACTGTGACAGAGCCAGAATGCAGCACAGCCGCAGCCGGTGGAAGCACACACATTGACTAGAATTGAAACATATCAGTTCCGCTGCCGTTCCAGAGCGCAGACGCAACCAACACGCATCTGGTGGAATTTGGGGGTCAGTATCTGAGAGCATAGTATTCAAGACCAATCCGAACCTGACTGGCATTCTGATTTTTTATGTCTGAACCCAACCCACACCTGATGCAGTTAATGTGAGGAAAAAACATGATTGCTCACTTGACCGCAGTTGAAAACTTGAAGGTGACCGCATTTACACCACTGTGCCCATTTCCTTGTGTCACTTTGACAAAAAGGCGACATAGCGAGGAAGCAGTTGGTTGGCTATTGTGTAAAGCAGTAAGAAAGCAAAACCCAAACCTGGCCTGGCCCACTGGGTTGTGACGGGCTTAGTTCGGGTATCCACACTCAAGTTTTATAGTTTTACTAGTGAGTCACCCTTAAATTTAGGGAGGTGACTTTTGTTATTTGGGAAAGATAACAAAGATTGTGTTTTGGTTGAACCACACATGTCCACTGTTGCTCTGTCACCACACAACCAGGAACTTTGCCACAGAAATAAGATAATAGCTGCTGATAAGCTTATAACTACACACTGAATGGTAATAGTGAAGTAGCAACTTTATCAGTGGTCACACCCAGGCAGTGAATCCAGCCAACTCCACAACTGACAACAAGCACTACTCTGAGTACACTCACCTCCCTGGTTGCCTTCCGTGATGGAGTAGATGATAGTTTGATTGACAGCAGCCGCCATGATGGCTCCCACTGGGGTTCCAACAGCAGCCTCCTCGCTCACTGGTGGAAACCTGGGAATGGATCAGTCAATCAATATCAACTGATAAGAAAATTAAATATGTATATGTAGACTGTGGGCCCACTTCCTCTCAAGGGTCAACTGCAATTTGGCAAGTTATAAACCTGTGAGAGTTAAATCTGTCAAACACGTCCAAATTTTTTTCTCCTTCATGCTGACAGCTTCCTGTACCTCAACTTTACCCCAAACAATAAAAGTGTATGTAAACACTCTTCACATTCAAAGAGCTACTCAGAGGATATAGCGATCTCATAGAAAGTTGTTCTTGTGTTAAGAGATGAAATGAGAGTTGGCTGCTGAACAACAACCTTTTTAAAGCAGGTAATAAACAAATTCACTTCACCACTACATGTATTCTTCTTCTCCTTTTAAATTTCTGACAACATAGATCATCAATTAACTGCTGTTGTCCAGGCAACTATCAATTGTTGGATGCTGAGTGTCAGACTAATAACAGTTGAAGCGGTCAAAGCAGTATCTCACAACTACCACACACTGATGACTCAAAAATAAATACAGTGAATAGTTCACTCGAGTTGATCCTCACAACACACTGGAATGACCTGTGTCCAGTGTTTGGCTGATAAATGGTGATGGACTTGGACTCTGATAGCCCCTTTTTAGTCTCCAACCACTCAGAGCGACCTCATTCACGCACATTCACACACTGTTGTCCGAGGCTACCATACAAGGTGCCACCTGCTACTCAGTTCAGACACTCCCACACACTCACACTGAGTGCACAGGCACAGCCATCAGGAGCAATATGGGGTTCTATATCTTGCTCAGGGATACTTTAACATACTGACTGGAGGAGCCGGGGATCAAACCGCCAATCTTTTTTTTTTTGTAACCAAATTTTATTCAGCAGTTCAGTTTAATTATGAGCATACAGTAGCACAGTGTCATGGTCTTCTTTTTTAAACAGAAATATTAACCCTTTAACCCCCCATCCCCCAACAATCCTCTCCCAGCTCAAGACCAAAGTAATGATAAATGATTAAAATAAATAAAAATGATTGAATAACATACATTACATTGCATACATTAGGTGTGCAACTAATTTAAAATAGATAAAGACATAAATGAAAAACATGTTAACCTAATCCTGTCTGCATCCTAGAAGATCACAATCCAAAATGCATGTACCCACAAGGTTACATCCCCACACAGAGTTGTGTCTACACAATAAATGCATCAATATGCATGTCGCTGTGTGTGTAGATATATATACCCCCATACAGTCAACACTTATCTTTCTCCGGTCACTCTTCCCATACTGTAGTGGTAAAGATTGCACTGTTTCGACGTTGGAGATAAGAGGCTGCCAGTGTTTCGAAAACTTCTCCAAACCACAGATTTTTTGATTAGCGGATAACCCACTCTACCTCCTGAGCCCCAGTACAAAATAAGATGCAAAATAATTTCGAAGATCTTTGGTTTGCTTTGGAAAAAAAGGCTGGTGATAATTAGGGCTTCAACTGTCAATCTGTCAATTGCGATACAATAGTGAAGATCATAACTTTCCTGGGTCCAAGGTGTGGTAAGGTGTGGAGTTAAAGCTTCATAAATTATTTGTAGTTAAAAAAAGACTAGTTGATTATAAAAACAGTTCAGTCAGGAAAACTTTAGTACTTTATTTCCATTTGCAATATCATATTTGGCGGTATGGCTCTGTTCTGGGGCCTCTCTGCCTTTCTCAGGCCTACGCAGAAAGCCTCTTCCACGCGCCTACATGGAAAGCCTAAGGCGGAGAGAGCACACCTGTCTGCCCTTCCACGTGCAAACAAGGAAATTCTGAGGCAGAGAGAGCAAACCAAAATGGCACTGATAAGTCAGACAAAGCATGAAAAAGAGGAGCTGGGGTGGAGGCGGCTTGCAGAGGTAGGCAGGCCAGAACAGTGTAAATAGGGCGCCCTGAATGAGATTTGCCAATTGGTTGCATAGAAAGGAATCATGTGATCTATCAGCTGACTCCGTTCCATCAATCAGCTGCTCTATCGGTTGATTGAGCTGTTTGAGATCAGCTGATGTAACTGGGATGTGAGCTGAGCTTGACATCATATCCTGCTTAGACTAACACTATGCTCAATTGACTAGTTCATTTTTAATCTGCAAGTTGATTAACAGAAAATGAACTAGTTAATCAACTTGCAGATTAATAAAGTAATTGCAGTCCTCAATGTACTAAAGCAAATACAGCCCACTGCATGGTCCTTTAAGATGGTGTACATTTTGTTGGTATAAATCTTGGTCTGATCCAGTACATTTGGAACAGTGTGTCTGACAGGCCCTATTAACGGCCTTAGCCAGGCAGTGAAATTACACCATCAACAGCTTTCAAAGAGAACCCAAGCATGGTCTTGTTTTTGTCCACCTGCCTCTCATTGCATGTGGTGGGCAGTTTTCCCTGCTTACAGCCCTGACAGATTTTCTCAGAATCTGGCAACCCTCAAATTTCCAGCAGATTTCACTCCATTAAATAAACCCAGTCCAGTCATTAGGCCAACCGTCACAGCTGGCTAAACATTATAACATGGGCTACCAACTGGCTAAGCTATCAAGTAATCACAACGTGATGAATGGGACTGTTGGGGAGAGGCAGAGAGAGAGTGTGTGTGTTGATGTTAACTTCCAGCTCAGTCCATTGCACCTCTAACCACCTGCTCTACCCAAACACCCAAAACAAGCAAATACGTCATAAACCTGAACTTTAATGAATGGATATAGATTTAAATGGGAGGGAAATATCGTGATATTGCAGCTTGAGGAGGTTTAAACTGCAGCAGCTGAAGCAAATCATTTACATACATTGAAAATAGATACATACCAGCCATGTTCACAGCATACATTTTGAGTTGTCATTGGAGGAAAAGCACAGGTGTTACGAATAACATTAACAACTGCTCTGTTCTAAGTGTCCCAGTGAGCCAGCATGCACAATACCAGTGCCCTGCAACCAAAGCAGCTAAATAGCCCTCATTAATTTCATCATTTACACCTGTTCTTTTCCTTCTGTGGCTAAGGTCAAAATGTCTTCTGTGAAAAAGTAGCCCTGACCTTAATAACGGTAACTTTAAGCCTTGATGAAATGTAAACAGGAGAGTTGTATAAAAATTCACCCCTGTACAGTTGTCATGAAGGGGGAATTAGTTACAGAGACCAACTCCTTTTCTTGTACCAGGCTGTAAACATGTTTATTTCTGCAGTTAAGTTGGGTATGTTGATGTGAGGTTGGGGATTGACCTGCTCCTGGAGCCGGCCTCAAGTGGCCCTTGGATGAACTGTAGTTTTTGGCACTCCAGCGTTGGCTTCATTTTTCAGTCCCGGAGGTTGGCACTTGTTTTTTTAACTTTTTATATTTTTGGGTTTCTGCCTTATAAGATACACAGACACAGTAGGGCCGGGCAATATGGAGGAAATCAGGATATTTTTACCAAATATTTCAATATTGATATTACGACTATGCCTTAGGAATGACTATTGGTGCTCTCACAAAATATTTACACCATAAGATGTTTGATAAATAATCATCAGTAATGTGGATATAATGACTATCTGGTCATCCGACCACTCAAAGTGCTTTATACACAATTCAATTCAATTCAATTCAATTTTATTTATAAAGCCCAATATCACAAATCACAATTTGCCTCACAGGGCTTTACAGCATACGACATCCCTCTGTCCTTAAGACCCTCACAGCGGATAAGGAAAAACTCGTTGTACAGAACAGATCAGCATAATAAATTAACAGTAATCCATATGACACAATGAGACAGAGAGAGAGAGAGAGAGATGCAGGTAATGACAGTAGCTTACAACAACATTAATGAAAGTAATAATATTATAGTTCTGGCTACTGTGGTACAATATGTTGAAAGTATGTATTAATATCTGACAGCAAGGCACATTCACGCACACATTTATACACCGGTGTGCGAGGCTACCATACACGGTGCCACGTGCTCCTCAGTTTGTAACACAGTCACACACTGATGGAACAGTCATCGGGAGCAATTTTGGGTTGAGTATCTGCTCAAGGATACTTCGCCATGCGGACTGGAGGAGCCGGGGATGGAACCGCAGATATTCTGATTAGTGGACCACCTGCTCTACCTCTGAGCCAGAGTTACCGTAGTATAACAGCTAGAGCAGTCTAAGCTAAGAAAATTATGTCACTTTATTGGATCAGGGTTTCCCATACATTCATTTATTTGCAGTAGCCCAACATATTATTGCTGTTGCCGCCACATATTGATTTTGTATGTATATGACATGGACATGGACAATTCCAGTCACCTTTCTGTCAGCTCAGCGAAATTTGTGCTAAATTAAGGCTTTGGAAGACAAGATGGAAAAGAATGGGCACCAGCTGAACTAGCATCCTGCTGAGGTGCTGGAAAATAAACTGGACCTTCATGCTGCATCAGTTTCCAACGGGATATCAGAAACTGGAATTCCTCTGATGCACTAAAAACTGACTAAATTCTGGACAGAGCTATTCAGCCAGAAGGTTCCTTTTCTATATGGCAATCCGACTAAGCAGGGGACTCTGGTGAGAGAAGGAGAAAGGGCGTGTGCTCTATGGTGAATAAGGACTGGTGCGACGGTAGAAATGTGAGGTGTTGTCCCATTCCTTCTGTGGATCACTGCTATACACCGTTCAGGGGCAGCTGCAGAGTGGAGCTGCGCCTTTTAGGAGGGAGCAACCACACAGCTGTATTGTTGAGGTCGGAATGTGTGGAGAGTAAAATCCTTCATAACCAGAAAACCCAAATTACCAGAACCATGCGGAAACACAGACGATTATAAAGCAGCAGCCAACAAAGTAAGAAGACATAAAATAGGACAAAATCACAGGTTAAAGAAGATGATGGGATCACATTTTACTATAATTTTACCTTTGGTTGATTGATTGACTGTATTTTTGGAGCTGGATCGTTGATTTGGAGCTCTGTTGGAATATATAGATATATATGGTTGGGTAAT